TCCTGTTGCTGGCATGCCCACTCCTGGCGGTGAAGACTCTGCGTTCGCACAAGACCCCTGGCGTGGTAACACGGACATGCAGCAGATGGAACAGCGGCTCCGTGCCGCTCTTCACGTCGACACCGACGCCATCCGTAACGCAGCGAGTTCGGCAGCAGCCTCCGCAGCATCTGAGCAGCTGGAGGCGATTGCTGGGCGACTGCAGGCTTCCTTCATGCAGGAGCAAGCCCGCACACACAGACGCCTGGATGCCAATGCCCGGGAAATACATGAACTGCGCCAGCGACAAAACGCAACCTCCGCCGCGCAAGCCACCATGCGCAGCGACCTTGACGCCATCCGCGAACAGCTGGCCATGGCTGAGGCGCAGATCCCCCTCGACGTGGAGAATCTGGCCAACTGGGACCGACCTCTTGACCCGCTCATCTTCTCGGTGGGTATTCCGTCGCCTGCGGCTCCTCAAGCTGTGCGTGCTGGCCTTACTTCTTGGGCTACCGACGCTAAGCTGCAGGCGGAACACATCGAGCTTGTGGGAGACGTCGTGGCCCGCAGGTTCACCGTGCGCGTTCTTGGCAATCAGGTCGAGGCCAGCGCCCGTGCAACTGCCCTGGTCCGCTGCCTCAGAACATCAACAGGGTGGCGGTCATTCCAGGTTCAGTCCACAGAGAACGCGGTCGTCCCGATGTATGTTTCCACCGATAAGAACCCCAGAATGGTTCGAGGGGAGGTGCAGACCAAGAAAATGTGCCACATCCTTGAGAATATGTACCCTGACACGACCTGGCGCTGCCGGCGCGCCAAATTCCAGATCCTTGGGAACAGCGTCCCCTGCTGCAAGCTTGAGCCTCGTGGCCAGGACGAGCCTACCCGCATCCAGTGGAACGAGAACGCAATCGCCGAGCTCAACCTCGATCGCGATGCAGTCGAGGCTGCTTTCCGTACCGCCTTCTCGACGGCTGACGTCCAGTGGTCTGGGTAACAGGAGCTGGGCGCCGTGGGAACCTTACCAACGAGATGCTGGGCAGGGGCTTCGCGTCATCTGCTGGAACGCGCGGAGCTTGCTCTGCCTCAACACTCGCAAACGTGAGTCTAACATGAAACTTCTTTCTGAATACATGAGGCAACGTTCTCTCATCGTCCTCCAAGAGGTACGCGGTGACGAGCGCCGCCTGCAGCGCCTCATCGACGGCACGCCGTACTCTTACACGTGCTATTTGTCCGTCTCCGATGCCTCTGCTGGCGGAGTCGCTTTCCTTGTACCTGGTCATTCTGAACTTCAGCCTGTTCCTGACGCCCTTAAGCCGGTGTGCGTTTTGCACCCGATTGTCACTGGCCGTGCCGCCGCCCTCTTTATCTCTTCTCCTGCACACGATCATAGCATGTGCGTGCTCAACGTGCATAATCACGATTTGTCCGCTCTGGAGGTTAGCGATAACGAGAGCTTTTGGGCTCAGCAGACAGCGCGCGCACAGCAGCACGAGCGCACTTTCAAGTTTTTAGCCCTCGGTGATTTTAACATCTCAGAGTCCCCTCCTCGCTCCTTTCGTTCCCCCGTTCAGTCTCCTTCTCGTCCCGCTCCTCCCACTACCCTGCCAGTCATAGACAACCGCGGCCAGCGCATGCAGGCTCGCTGGAAGCGCATGTTCAGTACCATGACTGAGCTCACAAACGATCTTCCTATTCGTTTCGACTCCCATCGCCTCCAGGTCTCGTGCATTGACCGTTTTTTCCTCTCAGGCTCCGCCCCGCAGCTCGTGTTTCTAGATGTCACGCCCCAGATTGCACACGAGAGCACGCGCTTGTCGGACAGAGGTTTATCGGATCACGCAATGCTGCTGCTCAAGATCCACCCCTCTGCTCCGCGTGCGCAGCAAGAGCGAGCGACCCCACCGTATCTGTTCAAAACGGATGAGTTTCGCCAGCATTTCGCTTCCATGCTTGCTCATACCGGCTTTGACCAGTTGTCTGCGGTCACCGCCTGGCAGGGAATTAAAGCTGTCATGTATGAAGCTGCCGCTCTCACCAGGGACCGGCTGCAAGGCCCCGAGTACCTCCACTCGGCGCACCCTGATGCACCCATCACGCGAATGTACCTGTTCAGGTCCATGGCTCGTGCACTCTGGCGCAACGACGCGCACGCTGCGGCACGTCTCATTGCTTCCTCTCCCCTCGCCTCCTCTCACCTCGTCGTCGTCGGCAGTGTGGCTTCTCTCCGTGATCCTCCTTCGTTTCATGCGCAGTGTGATGTTGCGAATGATGAGTGGCACCAGTTTCGGGCTCTGCAGGCTAGCATGCGAGTCTCTCAATTCGACGAGTTCGGACGCCAAAAAGATAAAATGCTGCAGCGCAAGATCGAGCGCAAAGCAGCACGGCGCGCGCGTCTGTGGACCCCCTGGCCCAGGCAACTTCGTCTCGAGGGGGTTCGGGCGCATGTTCACGCCGATGCCGGCTCCCGGGGGCCGGCAGAGACCGTGTACATTAGCGATAAGGACATCTTCAAAGCCGTACAATCCCACTGGCTTCCTGTCTTTTCTGCTCGTCCGTCTTCTGACCCTGCCATCCGCGAGTTTCTCTCCTCTGTCCTCCCTCCTGCTCCCACCTTCGACGCCCCCATGCCCAGTGAAGCAGCGCTTGTCCACGCTCTCAAAATAGCGAAGCCTAGCGCTCCTGGTCCTGATCGTCTTCCTGACTCTGCCTGGCTCTCGCACCCGTTAGCCGCCGCCATCTTGCATCGCGTCTTTGAGCATATTTACTCGGGAGGTTTTCTCCCGTTTGAGGCCAACCACTCGCTGTTTGCGCTTCTCCCGAAGGGAGAAGAGCAGTCTGACGCAGTTCGTTTAACTCGCAGGTGCCAGGATCTCCGGCCCCTCAGTCTTAAGAATAGCGATGTGAAGGCCATAGGTTCAGCCATCAACTTCACATTGAAGCCCTTGGTCTCAGAGAGAGTCCACACGAGCCAGCAAGGGTATATCACTGGTCGGAACTTTGTGGGCAACATACTCTTGCTGGACGCGGAGGCTAGGAGAGCTGGCTGGCTAGCGGATGGCTCCCGCAAGCGGCCTCTTTTGCTTTCCTTCGATTTCAAGGCAGCGTTTCCCAGTCTCTCCAGACGATGGCTCGAGCTGGTGCTCGTGCACTATGGCGTTCCGCTCGGAGTGTGTTGGGCCATCGGCGCCTTGCATACGGCCCCGATAGCGTTCGCGAGGTTCGGCGACATGCCCCTCACGCCGATGCGTGAGCTTGGTAGCGGCGTCCTCCAGGGGTGTCCACTCTCAGGCAGCCTCTGGGCCTTAGCGATGGACCCTCTGTTGCGCCATCTTCACAGACCTTTTCCGTCGATCGATCACGGCGTCGTGCGAGCGTGTGCCGATGATGTGGGACTGATTTTGCTTTGTATCACTCAGCTTGTGCTGATCGCTGAAACTTTTTGCTTCGCCGAGCGCCTCGCGGGACTGTCTCTCCAGCCGGCTAAATGTGTAGCGGTCCCCCTGTGGTCGCCCATCACTCCAGAGGTCCGCAGCCAGACTTTGGACGACCTTGGGGCCGCTTGTCCGAGTTGGCGCTCGTTTCAGGTTTCTGATGTTGCGAAGTACCTCGGAGTTTGGATCGGGCCAGGAGCAACAGCCGATCTCCAGTGGAAAGGCCCTTCGGAGAAGTGGTGGTCGTGCATCCATCTCGCTAGCGTCACTCGTGCTCCCCCTTCCGCCCTCGCGCTTCTCTACTCATCTGCCATCCTTCCCACTCTGAGCTATGTCGCGCAACTTTTCCATCCCATCGCTCGTTCGCTTAAGCGAGAAATTCACGGCTTGCATAAGCTGTACCGTCCCCCGCCCAACTTTTTGAAGAGGGCAGACATTCTCTCGTTCAAACTCTGGTGTCATGGCGGCGGCCCAGGCTCGATCGTTGCCCTTTGCCTCGCCACTTTATGGCGCACCTGCACTACCGCGCTGACGGGGTGGCGGAGTTCGCTCGAGCGGTTACAGCAAGCCGCCACGGATGCCGCCCCCACCCCTCGCTTCTGCAATGGTCAGTGGTCTCCACAGTGGTGGGCTGAGCAGACATCGATCGTTCAGAGGTTTTCGAATGCGTTCATGTGCCAGCCCATCTCATTCTATAGCTCGTGCAAGGTTTCGCCAGAGATCCAGCGCGCTGCCATCAGAGCGGGGAGGGCTGAGGTGTCTAGGGTTCTCGCGTTGGGGGAGGGACGCAAACCGAAGGTGCAGCGCGCTGTCAACGTCCATCTCGCACGTTCTCTGTATCCTGACCGCTTCTCTGACACCATCCGTAGGCGCTTGAGCAAGTGGTTTCCACTCCTTCCTCTCCCTCCTGATCTCGATGTCCGCTGGCTTTTTCTCCGATCCTATCTCGCTCGATGCAAGCCAGCGATTCGCTGGTGTGTTCTTAAAACGCTGTGTGGCGCCTGGACCACAAGCAGTCGGATGCACGTCGTGCCGGGCTCGAAAGCCTGCCTCATGGGATGCACCGACGGGATAGATTGCATCCAGCATTATCTCGTTTGTGATAAGTTCCTGGAGCTTGTTGCCGACCCTCAGCGACCATCGAGTGACGAGGTTTTAGTTCGACTGGGCTTGGGCGGGGAGGCGGCGCACATGGGTCGGCACTCGCTCGGATCTGTAGTGCGTTCTCTTGCCCTTGCCTTCTACATATATCATGCCATGAAAGGGGGAGATCGGCACCCCCCCTCACGTTTACATCACTGCGCCTGCCGCTGCACGCATCCGTGCTCTCGCCATCCAGCGTTCGCGCGAGGCGTAGGCGACCAGGACTCCTCAGGGGACGTTCGCTCCTCCTCCTCCTCCTCCTCCTCCTCCTCCTCCTCCTCCTCCTCCCCTCATCATAATCATCATCCTTCTCCTCCTCCTCCTCCTCCTCCTCCTCCTCCTGCGCTTCGTTCCTCCCCGCACTCGTCTTCCGTCTCTTCCTCCCCGTCCACGCGTTTGTCTTCCGACTCGTTGTCCTCCTGCTCCCGTCGCTTCCGTAGCCATTTTGGCTCAAGCCCGTGGGGGCACTTGAGACAGTTGTCCCCGCCCCGCTCTGGTCAGAAGCCGCTGGCCGCGCGGCGAAAGAGCGATGGGCCCCATCGCCTTCTTCCTGGCGGCGCTCGCAGCGGTGACCGGCGCGCAGGCGTTTCATCACCCAGCCACCCTGTCGCCGCAAGCGGTAGCGGTGCCCGCCGTGGGCGCCGGCCGCCGGGCCCCACGCCCCTCGACCGCCTCGGCCGAGGCCGCCCCCGCCGCGGGTCGCGCGGGGCTCTGCCTGGCCTGCGGCGCCGCCGCCGCGCTGGCCGCCCGCCGCGCGGCCCGCGGTCGCACGGCGATGGGGTTCTACAAGAGGATGGGCGGCTACGGCAAGAAGGACTACGCGGCCATCTTCGGCCCGCAGTACAACGGGCCGAAGATCGACTACATCATCATGCGGGGCCCCCGCTTGGGCAGGCCGAGGAACGGCGAGCAGCGCACCATCCCGAAGCTCAGCGGCGGCTCCTTCGACAAGCGCAAGGACATCATGAAGTGCCTGACGACCGCGGTGGTCAAGCACGGGCGCATCAAGACGACCTTCGCCAGGGCGTTGGGCGTGCAGAGCTTCATCGACAGGATGATCGTCCTGGCAAAGCGCGGCGACGACCTGTCGCGCCGCGAGGCCGAGGAGTGGATGGTCGACTCGAGCCTGGTCGAGAACCTCTTCAAGCTGGCGCCTGAACGCTACGGCGATAAGGGCAAGGACTTCACGCAGGTTACCCGCACAATGGGCAAGAGAGGCGCGGAGATGGCGTACATCGAGCTTGTGTGAGGGTCCTGGAGTTGGTCCTCTTCCTCATCCTTCTCCTCCGCCTGTCTTCGTCCTCCTTCCATCCCCTGCTTCACTCTCTTCTTAGCCTCCGTGCGGCAGCAAAGGGATGGAGCGCAGGACGGGGGGGTAGAGAGAAGGACTACGCCCCAGGCAAATATCTTGCGCTCTAGGGCTGGGGGCATCCAATAGTCTGTGTGCTGACTCGAAGACGTGCCTCCTGCTCCAGCGCTGCCCTCCCCGTCATCCACGCTATCATCCTCATCATTCGCCGCCTTGTGGCCGCCGTCATCCTTACGATCCAAGCGGACATTATCGAAGCTCCCCGTTCTTGTCCGATCAGGTTTGCATGTGGATGGACATTGGAAACTACGGGATTGTAGTCGATACATGCGCACGTCTGCTAACTCTTGCGGCCAGGGACGGGTGTGGCGTTGACGGGGATACCTCTTCCTCATCCGTCTCCTACTCCTTCCTCTCTGCCGCCCTCCCTCCTTCCCCTCCCCCTCCCCAGGGAAAGTTCGGTCCTCGCAGGGGCCTCGTGAGGGCCCCGGGATTAATCTCGGAAGACCCCGTCAACTCGCGAACGCTTTCTGAGTCTGGGACGACACCGTTCCAAGCTGGCTCGGACGCGCCCGTTTGATGCGAGCACGTCCCCGTCCCGAGTCCAGACGGGCGCTTTGTCTTACGCGGGTCCGGCGGCAGAAGGCGCGGCCCTTCAGATCCGGGCGCTCACGCTTGTAGTGTGGGCCGTGCAAGGTCCCTCCGTCGATGTGTATGTGTGGCCAGCACCGACCCGTGTCCTTTTTAAAACAAGAGCCCTAGAGGTTCGTCTTGGAGCGTTACTCTTTCGGCGGTCCCCGCAGCCGCCCTACGGTTCTGGCGTCCCCTGGCGGTTGGCGGCCCCGAGACTGGCCACAGACAGCCACGAGCACCCCAAGAGGGCTCCAAGACGGTCCAAGAGGGCTCCGTGAAAGCCCAAGAGCGCTCCGAGGCAGCCTCAAATGGCCCAAGGACGGCCGCAAAGGCCGCCAAGTCGCCCCAAGAGGCTCCAAGAGAACCCCAAAAGGGGGCGCTTTGGGATGTTCTTTTTGTTTTCCCTTGGAGATTTGCGATACTAGAGCTTTCGAGTTTCAAAATGCTTAGGACGGCCCGGAAGGGCTCCAAGATCGCCCCAAGACCGCCCCGAGAACCCTCCGAAACAGCATCAAGATGGCCCACTAGTGCTCCAAGACGGCCCAAGATGCCCCCGATATGGACCAATAGTCCCCCACGAGGGCCTCAAGCAAGGACCAAGAGGGGGAGATCGGAGGAGTCTGCGATGTCGTTCCCTAAGATGGGCCCCGATACCCCCAAGAGGCCATGCCCCAAGCGGCCCCCGGAGGCCCCCGAGACTATCCAAGAAGTTCCAAGAGCCCCCAAGTGACCCCCGAGAAGCTCCCAACGAAGCCTCCAAGAGCACCCAGAGAGGCATCTCTCACAACCCTAGGCATGGCATCTGCTCGAAACTCCGCCAAACTCCCTGTGAGCGGCCAGTGATGCGCTGCGGATGTCCTCGATCTGGCCGCTCCCGCCTGCGGCGTGGGCCGTGCGAGACAATTTTTCAATGTGTGCGACGAGCACCGACTAGTGTTTGGGTTCAAAACCACCCTGATTCACCCAGTGGGCCTTTCCTCTGCCGGCGTTCCCTCGGAGGGCCCCCCGCGGATTAGGGCGACGCGGGCGGTTCACGCGTTTTCCAGGCGGCGACAGACCTCAAGAACGGCCTCGAAACAGCCATCAGACTGGCCCAGAACAGCTACGAGGGCTTCAAGACCGGCCGAAGACAGTCCAAGAGGGCGCCGAAAAGGCCCCAAAGCGCTCCAGACGGCACACGATGGTCTTTGGACGGGCCCCAGAGGCCGCTCAGACACCCCCCTTAAAAAATGTGTGACTGGGGGATGCTTGCGTTTTTCGAGCTTCCGAGGGCCCAAGACGGCCCAAGAATGGGTAAGAGGCCCACAAGATTTCCCCAAGGCCGCCTACGACCCCTCCCCTCCGACAGGGCCCAAAATGGCCTAGGAGGCCCCAAGAATGCCCAAAAGGCACCCGAGATGGTCCCATGGGTCCCCCCCACGATAAGTATTCAGGACAGTACCTATATGGGGAAATCGAAGACTCCTTCGGAGCCTTTCGCCCTAGATAGGCCCCAATACCCCAGGAGGCCCCGAAGCGGAGCCCAGAGACCGTTCAGACACCCCCAAGCTGCCCCAAAACGCCTCCAAGGGGCCTTCAAAAAGCTCCCGCAGAAGCATCCAAGGAGCCCAAAACAGGCATCTCCAAAAAGTCCGAGGGACAACCCCGACATATAGCTTGCATGCGCGCCGCGTCACGACTCTCGATAATGCACGCATCTCCGTCAACCTCTCAGAGAGAGGCCGGTGATGAGCCGCCGGCGTCTTGAATATTTGGACATATGGAAAACATTCGCGAAGCAAGCGCGTTGACGTTTGTGTGGCGTTTCGCGCTCTTGCTCGCAGCCTCGCGGCTGTCGCGGGCGAAATACGTACATTGTGATGGGTATGCCGGGGTTCCTGTCCTCGCCTCTTCCGACTCCACACACACCTCGTCCTCGTCTTGTTCCGCCTCGCATGGAGCGAGAGGCCCGCGTCGAGACAAGCCGAGAATACCAGGTTCTTACGGCTGGCTCGTGGCATGCTTTGCTCCCAGAATGTCCGAGGATCGCGTCGCGACGGCCCCTGGGCCTTGAGATGGCCCAGTACGGCCTCAAGGTTGCCCTATACTGCCCCACGATACCGTCCGGATCGCCCAAGACGGCCCAAAGTGGCCCCAAGATGGCCCCTAAGATGCCTTCAAGCTGGGGCCCCGATGCGTCAAGATAACATCGAGATTGCCAAACACGTTCCGACAACGACCCCACTGTGCGCCCCAATCAGTCTCAGGCCACAAATCAGCCACAAAATGGCTATGCTTGGGGGGCAGCGGCAGAGGAGGCAGTTCTTTAGGAGGCCTGCTGGGGCCTCCCAGGGGTCCGTTGGGGGCCTCTTGGGATCTCTCCGGGCGACGCTCTGGGGCCGACGGGCGCCATTGTCTGTCTTGGGGCCATATCTGGCCATCTTGGGGGCATATTGGACCAACTTGGAAGCGTCGCTGGACTTGATTGGGCCATTTTGGAGGCTGTCCAGGACGGCAGGGTACCGTCTTGGGCATACTTAGAGGGCTTCATGGGCCATCCTTGACCCTCGTGGGGAGGACAACGGGATGTAGGAGAACAAGGAGGAGGAGGAGGAGTGCCACGGCGATCGTCTGATTATGATTGCATGCGCATGTCTTTCGATATTGAAGCGCTATTGTGAACCATAAGGTCTTTGAGGATAAGCTCGCATTGTTAGCAGGCTAGAGCATGTATGAGGTACGGGGCGATGTTAAACTTACCTGCTGGGAATTAAGTCTGGGCGACACTAGTGGAAAAACTGCTAACTCTGATGCGCCCGAGGATCCTCACGGAGTCCTTTTACGTGTCTACCGTTTTGGGGCCGCCAGCGGTTGTTCAGGCGATTTGGCGATTGTTAATGTATAGCTCTCTGGTATTGCATGGCGCGGGTGCCGGGCAACCGCCAACCACGGGTGCCCCGAATTGCTTTTAAGTTCTCGCAGTCCACGTGGATGATCTTGGTATTTTATCCTTCGTCCCAGGCATGCCTGTACACTGGGTGGGGGAGGCGGATTGACGGGCGTTGTAGTTTTTGCATTCGCATTGCAGGCACGCTGATTATTGCGCGGCATTGCCATCATTGGCGTCACGCTCCCCTCTGCCTGCATGCTCGATCCCAATCTCCAGCGTCCGCAGGCATTTTGGTGCGAATGCGTCGGTCCTCTGTTTTTGTTGGCCCGATGCCCGTTCTCTTCAGGCGGGGCTGCGGCGCATGGACTTGATCCCCGAATGGGCGCAGAGGAGCCCGCCGACGCCCTCCGGGCTGCCGCGGAACGCCCTCTGCTGCCCCGCACGATCTCCTTCGTAAAGGCCTCCACGGGCACATTGGGGGCAGTGAACGGCCAGGCAGGCCACCAGGGCAGCGTCTCGGGGCCAGTGCCACCATATTTCCTATACCCCCGGGACAGGCTATGTGGCCTGTGCGAGCGGCGGGAGCCCCGGCGCATCGGCCGCGGGCTGCGCAACGCTGGGAACACGTGCTTCTTCAACAGCGTCGTCCAGATGCTCACCTACACTCGGCCGCTGCAGAACTACCTGCTCTCGAAGGAGCACTCCAATGCGTGTGGCTCTCAGCGCAACGGGGTGTTCTGCGCCCTGTGTGTGTTCGAGCAGCACGCGCAGGAGGTGCTTTTGGAGCCTGGGCGTACAGCTGTACATCCACGGGCCATGCTCAAGCGAATCAAGGAGTTTGGCGGGCGATCGATACAGCTCGGACGGCAGGAGGACGCTCATGAGTTCTTGCTTCATTTCCTGCAGGCATGTCAGAAGTCTTTATTGCGACCTGCAGAGGCCAACGGCGCTGTACCCAGACTTGTTCAGCACACCACTCTGATCTACCAGCTGTTCGGAGGATATCTGCGGTCGCAGGTTGTGTGCGAAGAGTGCGAGTTCGAGTCGAACACTTACGATCCGTATCTTGACCTCAGCCTTGAAGTCAAGCATGCCGTGAGCATTGATAAGGCGTTGGAAGGGTTTACCAAGCGTGAGCGACTGCATGGGCCCAACCAATACCGTTGCAAGCATTGCAACAAAACCACCAGTTCCACTAAGCGTTTTTTCTTACACACGTTACCACCAACGCTTGTGTTTCAATTGAAGCGATTTGATTATAGCCAGGGCCAGAGAGGAAAGTTGGGAAAGCCTGTCGCATTTGGTACGTCTCTTAACATGGCCAGGTTTTCCAGCACGCCAGAGCGGGATGCGATGTATAATCTCTGCGGTGTGCTTGTGCACGCAGGGCAGTCAGCAAAGAGCGGTCACTATTACGTCTTCATTAAGCAGGCTGCAGGCACGTGGCACTGCTTCGATGACGAGGTTGTGAGGGCTGTTCCAGAGCGCACTGTGTTGCAGCAGCAAGCCTACCTGCTCTTCTACGAAGCAGCGCAGCCGTCGAAGCTGTTGGGCGTCGCTCCAGACACACCCGCGGCGCTTCCAGACACACCCGCGGCTGCCAGGGCTTCCACGACAGCCGGCCCAGCCAGGCAGCCGAGTCAAGCGGTGGAGCCTGCTTCGCTCGCGCCTACAGCTCCTATGGACTGTGCTCAGGCGGCGTCGCCTCACGCACCACCGTCCGCCCCAGCAATTGTGCGGGAGGCGCGGAGAGCCGCAGCCAGCATTGCCAAACCTGCGGTG